TTTTTTTTTTTTTTTTTTTAATGTCGAAGCTAGACTTTCTCTTCTAAGTTTCCACTCAGATTTAAAACGGGTCTGTTAGAGAGAAGTTTCCGCACCCTTATAAGGTATGCTTTGTTCTCGTCTCTAACTAATATGAGTTCTCACAATTCATCCCCTTAAGAGGGTCAACGTCCTCGCTGGCATACCGCCCCTTGTCTGATTATGATACCATTTGTAACAACTCAAGTCCATCAGCCTGCGATTTTTTTTTTTTTCTTGGATGCATTTAAAAAGTGGAAAAGGTAGCAAGCAAGTTGTTTTTAGAACTGGCTTTCTTACCCAATAATGGCTATGGAGGTGAGGACTTAAGATATTTGGAAATCTACTCTCTAAAGTCCAAGACCTTAAATGAAAACTTTACGAATCAAAAATCCTTGTTGTCTCTCGGATCTGGCATTAGGGTGGGTGGAACCTCTTCGAAGATTAGTAGGGGTTGGCAAGGAGTGATTCTTCGCTACCCAAGTTATTAGAGGAAAACTAACAAGCATTCTAACTTATGAGAACAACGCACTTAACAGTTGATCTGAACTGTCTTAGAGATTAGAACAACTAAAAACGTTTCCAAAGTCATGGATTTCTTTACGAATTATTCCCTCGTAGCTTAGAAAAAAGTGTTCAAACATCAGAGAAAAAGGCTACAAAGAAAAATTAGCTTAAAAGCTGTAATGTAAGCACAGCTGATGTTGTTCTTACTTCCATAATCATAAACTTTCACAAGCTAAAGCTCATCTGGAGAGATAGATTATATGCTAAGCTGACTGAAACAGTGTGACAGAAGAAAGGGTATATATTACACTGCTGAGAGGAACAGTAACTTAGCACAACAGCCATACTGTGGGGTTCAAAAGGAAACACCCCATTAATTTCTAGATTCTACAAAGACCCCTTTGAGATTGGATCTCAGAAGCTTAGCTCTTCTGGATGAACAAAAAATGATGAAATGAATAACAAGAATGCATTAATATAATCATCATCTTAGCATAGAGCAAGTTTCATGAGAAGGAAAAGGAAAAATTGCTATACAATTTTCTTTGAAATGGGAAAGGCTAGCTATATCTTATTGATCTTATTTCTTTACCTGGAAGAGACGGAGTTCAAGGCCCTTGCAAAGCCATTCATAGCTCCATAGCCCTTTGAGCTGAACCCCAAGCAGCCAAGCAAGCCTTGTCTATAAGGCAAGAATGTCTTCTTCCTCAGCTCCTCTGCTTGTGCTCTGTTTTTCGTGTAGTGCAGCTCGTGAGGCGACGGCGGAATCCTCCGTTTTCCGACGCCGTTCGTCGGTTTTCCGGCCGTAGGCTTCTTCGCCGGAACTTGCCCACTTCCCCCCTTCACCTTCTGAGCTGATGGTTTTGTAGCCTTTTGCTTTGTTGAAGATGAAGTGGAAGTGGATGTTGCTTGATTTGTTGTTGGTTTCTTCTCTTTTGCAGAAGAAAATGAAATGTTGGACCAGAATTTATGATTACTACTTCTTCCTTCACTTTTGCTTCTGTACAGAAAATCCTTCAAAAAAATCCATCGCTTCGAATTCCTTCCGGCCGATGAAGATCTTGACGACGAAGCCGAAACTGAAGGAGTGGCGGTTTCTGAACTCATAAACCCCTCTTCTTCGCTCTTATCCATCGTTTTCCCCTCTCCTGAATCGTTCTCGAGAAACCCCTCTGTATTCAAATCTTCATCGTCATTTTCCGTCCATTCCACCGGCGTATTTCTCAACGGCGACATAGATCTGGTTCTCCTCCGTAGAGATTTATCGCGAAGCCGCAGATCTCTCCCTCTTACATACCCTACGATTTCGCCCCCTTCATCGTCTTCATCTTCTCCTTCCAGATCCAGCAATGGCGCCAAAACCTGCGGCTGCTCCAAGTGAGTCGAGAGCTTCATCGGTCGGATCTTCCCGTTCAAAAACAACTCATCCGCCGAGCTCATGGAACCGACCGAACCCGAGCCATTAGACCCAAACCTCCCGGAGAACTCAAACTCAAACGAACACGAATGGCCATCCTTCAACGAAGACGACGACAACTGAGCAGAGGAGTTCGAGGACTTAGTTATGGCAAAATGCATTGGACTAGCGGGAGCGCTGTAATAGAATCCCCCGACGGGGCTACGGCCAGGGCTCGAAGGAGCACTAACATAAGGAGTAGAACATGCGCTATCAACATCTTCGAAAATGGCTTGGGGCTCATGAACACCGTGATGTCCACCATTATTAGGTTCTTGAAGCTCAGTTTTGACATCTAAATCCAAAATCTCGCCGCCATTGTTGCTGGTTTGGAGCTCCATTGCTCTGTTCATCCGTTCTGCGCCAAAAGAAGAAGAAACTCTGAGAAACGAAAGAGCGTAGCTACAAATTAATAATTTCGGGGTGGGTTTACAAAATAGTCCTCGAAGTTCTCATTTATTACAAATACTACCCCTACTTTTTGATGTTTTTTCTAAAAAGCCACAGATATCTGTCCTTTTTTATTTTTATATTTATTGATTTAAATGGAAATAAAATAATTATTAACTTGATAAAAATGCATTTTTATTTTCTAATTAATGGTACGACTATCGGCCTAAAAATAGAAAAATATTAATTTCTTACATGTATATAGATGGTCCTATTTATTATTTGATATGACATTTTTTATTAGCCTATTTATATCATATTTCATTAATATAATTATCATGCTTAAATTTATTTTAGATTTTAATGTCAAATTAATATTATTTATTTATCAATCTCTTATCGAACCAAAAAAAATATATCGTTAAATTATAAAAATATTCTTCGATTTTGTCATTTATTTTAAAAAATACTCTTAAATCTTTTAAAAATTGAAATATTACTCGCTTCGAACATATAACTTATAAATATAATTTTGGTCTATAAAAATGGTAATTGTTCGAAAATATTTAACAAATAAAAACATGTTTTTTTAAAGGACTTTTGTCTTAAAAATGTTTTTAAATAATATTTTATTTCAATAATACCCTTCTCAATCTTCAAACAATATATATATATATTAAATATACTTTGAATTTACATAACATTTTTGTCTTTAATAATTTAATGTTTTATTTTCATTAGGTTAGTTAATATTAATTTTATGTGATATTTTGTATTAAAAAAACAAGTTTATGGATATTGTTTTTTAGATTTTTTTAATTATAAAAATTTAAAATTAATTGAATATATATATATACATATATATATATATAATTTAAATGGGTTTATTTTATACATAAATCATAGCTAATTCATATTTAGAGAACGTTAATTATAAATTTAAAAATGAGAAATATATAAAATTGATTAAAGATAAAATACATAAAAAATAACAAAATAAAAAGAAGAAAGGGCAAACTATATTGATATAAATTTGAAAAATTAACTTAATTAAAAAATTAAAAAAAAATTACCTCAGGTGAAAATTAAAAATTTAATAATGATTGAGAATTTTACTATTTATAATATTATGATTATAATACAGATTTGAATCCGATCTTGAATATAATAAAATAACCAAAGAAGAAAAAATATATATTAAAAAAAACAAGTAGCGTATAAAATATTATATAATTTTTAAAGGGGACAAAAAATAAAAATAATACATGGGAATTAATATTTTGAAATTTACTTAAATTCATAATCAAACCAAAATAATTTCATTAATTGACATTAATTATAATATATTAATACATAATGAAAGATTTGAACGTCAACATCACGTCCTACACGTTTCATTTTCACTCTAAATTTTTCAATATTGATTAAGATTTTATGAAATTTTCTTTTTATTTTTTTATTTGTTGTTAAATTAAATATTGAAAACTACGACTTTTTTATTTATTATTATTTGGATTTTCGTACTCTTTTTATTTTAATTGATGGACTTTTAAAGCAAATTTACACTTTATTAATATAATTATCTTCTAATATTAAAAAAAAATCGACTCAAAAATATTCTTTTATCATTTATCTTATTAATAAATGTTTATACATATAATCAACTCGAGCATATCTCAATTAATTAACACATATATTATCAATAAAATTAAAATTGAAGAAATAAAATGTCATTTAAACCTAAATAAAAGATTAACCAGTTAAAGGAAGGAAATCCTATTTTTTAAATAATTAAACCACAAATCTATATATATATTTACTTATTTATTTAAAATACTTTTGTTTATTTTAATGAGGGCTAAAATTATTTTAGTTTCTAATATTCTGGCATTACGACCTTTACCACAAGTGATGCTATTTATAGATCAGATCAAATTATTTCGTAGATTGGATTGGATTTTACTGACTGTCTACGGCACCATTACATGAGCTCAGGGTAGAAGCTTTGTATAAATGTATTGTCATGCTATTAAGTATTTTGATTTAAGTTCTTTGTTTCTAAGAGGTGGAATAGAATAGTCCGGTTGAAGCGTAATTAATCATGTCTATAATGCATTGTATGTCCCATAATAGGTCCCATTCTTCTACCCTTCCCCGAAGTCAATGGCTATTCTCATAGCTATTACCTTGACATCAAAGAAGAGTTAACCAATGCTTTATTTCTACTCTAGTTGATCCCGATTCGACATTAGAAGTATATCGATTTTTCCCCAACCCTCGTTTTTTCACTGTGTTCAATTCCCTTCTTTAAGCAAGTATATGTTCTCGTTTAGGGTTTCTTCGACTCAAGCCTCAATTCTCCAACATAACATAGAGAAACGGGTGAGGACGGGAAATATATCCTGACACTAGTCTTAGGTTAAATTATCAAAAATACCCCTAAACTATTGTGGGAACAGGGATAGAGAGTACATCCCGACTCCGCCCTATTAATAGAAAAAACTTTTCAAAGTTAACCCGAGAAAGTTTAAAGAAATGATTTTCAACTCCACCCCCAAAATTTTCCTATAGAAGAGTGTTAATATTGTTATAAAAGAAGCTGTTAATGAAGAAGAAGAGTAGTTGAAAGTAGATATCAGAGCTTCGCCTGAATATATGTCTGCCAATCCATGGGTATCAGCCAGCAGCAGCTCTACAATACATGAAGGACAATCAGTATGACAAGAGTTTTCATTTCCAAGAAGGAAATTAAGAGAATCATTAAAGAAACTCACCATCTGATCACTTTACATCATCAATTACTTATGTTCATATCCAAAAAAGAAACAGACCAAGAAAAAGATTAAGCTTCTTCCCCAATGATCAGCAAATCACTGACCAGTTCATCAACTAAAGAACTTAATATCCATTTCTCAACCAGAACCCCCTCTTCAGATGCTTCTATGTCAAAGTTGAGCCATTTCCCGTGTTGTGTGGTGCTCATATCCTTCTCCACAAGCTCATCTACCATCCATTCTTCTGAGCATTTCAAACTCTCTATCTCTTTCCATAACTCATCTGCTAAACAGTCATTCTCGAACAGTTTCGTCCATGGAACCCGAGTTTTTGAACTTCCAATTACTATTTGTTTCAGCTTTCGTTCCAAACACTCGTTCACACAGTCGAGCAGAACCTTCTGTTCGAGCTCGTTGCACTTGATGTTTTCCTCAATCTCCAGGTTATTGACAACACCTAATGTAAAGTTTTCAAATGCTAGCTCAGCTTTGCTTAGGACTCCCCTCACGTACTGCAGTTCCCAGTCATTTGATCTATGGATCTTTATTGGACTTATCATTGTAGGTGAAAGAGTTTGAAACTTATCTTCCTCATCGATGCTTGATGCAGAGTCGAATACCGGTGTCTCATCGAGCATTCTTGAGTAGAGATTTTTTGGATCTAACTTGATTGTATCACCATGTTGAACTGAAGACAACCCAAAAAATGAGTCAATTCCAGCAAATGTTCATAACTAGGAGGAATTTGATATGATTGTGATGGATGAAATAGAACATTTTGAAGGAAGAAACTAAGACAGACTTCTTTATGAAGCAAATTTCTAAAATTTTCCTAAGAGGTTTCAGTTAACGAAAGAATCTAGAAACTAATTTCTACTCAGTTTATATTGCATCTGAAACTTATATGCAATTTTCCTGATAAACTTGGCGGTGAAATTTGTTTGTGATACCAACTTTTCAGAGGATGCCTTCTTCAGATAATTCAAAAAGTTCAAGAGAAAAAGAGATTTTTACCATGGATACTACTTCCATTGTCTGGGGAAGACTCGTCCTCAATCGAAGATCCACTAATGGTAACAGTTTCAGTGTCGTTACTATCTTCGGGTTCTTTAATGTCTTTCGCTCCCTGAAACTGGAACGAGTTTAGTTATACATAACGAGATGTTGAGAAACAATGGATATTTCACAACTCTAATGACTTGGAAAATTTCCGAGTATGAAAAAGTGATTAATGCACTTAAGTAGTTATTTCAAACAGGCAGTAAGACAATATTCAATATCAAGACCATGATAAAGATAACATCAGCTGAAAGGTGCAATAGCAAGTAGCAATACCTGCAGCCATTTATCGACAATCAGTTCGTTGCTATCCATTGACAAGTCGTCACAATCATGGGGGCTTTCTGAGCATCTACAACTAATGCCATTTTCTTTTTTGGCATATTCTGAAGTGGCAAAAAGATTTTGCGAATTGGACCCGGAACAAGCGAAAATGCCTTCTCCTGTCATATATGATTGAGAGGGCTCAACCCTAGATGTCAATTCTTGAAGTTTTTGCTCCAACAGAACACTTAAAGCATCACCATTTACGTCGTTTAAATGCGGTGAAAGTGATGATAGGTTCTGCAAATAATCGTTCTCGCTACACGAATCAAAGACCAAGCTGTGGTTAACTTTTACAACCTCATCTGAATGAGGTTCAGAAACAGATTTCTTAAGTGGGGATGTGAATGTAAAAGAAACAACGTCCATTCCCAGCTTCCTGTTTTCATCACAGTTCGTTGAACCATCAAATGCAATATTATATTTGACAGATCTCTCACCATCGTTGATCAAAGCATTAGACACAGAACAACTTCCTTCACTACTAGCATCCTGACTGACAGATTTTTTCTTCCGTGAGGCAACATTTTTCTTGGAAGGTGCAAAATCTTCTTTACCATCAGCTTCTCTCGTGCGTGTGATTTTCAATTCAACTTCGGAGTTGATAACATCCTTATTTACAGATTTTCTAGCAGACTGAATCCTTTTGACAGGTTGATTCAAAACCTTTGAAGGTTTTGAAGGCAATTTTTCTTTGTTGGGTAAAGAATTCTGCTTCTGATTGTTTTGTGCAAGAACATTGTTATTTCTCTTCACGGTTCTCTTCTGCATTGGTTTTTGCAAGCTGGGCTGGCTCCCGAAAAGTTGTCTCGATTTCACTTCATTATGCTCTTTCCGATCCATTGAACTCCTGTCACTACAAGAAGTTGATTCCCCTCTACTGTGAAGATTAGCTCTAGCTTGCCCTGCAACGGAAGCTGGTCTTCCTTTATCTTTTGAAGTGTTGGAGTTAATTCTACCACCTCCAATGGAATCAGTCCTTGACGCTAGAAGTTGTTCAGATCCACTATAATTCTGTTCACTAGCCTTCCCTTTTCGATTTTCTGTTGGTTTTTTGATTCCTGTAGACTTGTGTGCCGTTTCCAAATTCTCTTTCAAAACCCGGATTCTCAAGGGCGCTGAGGAATTGGTAATAGATGGCATTTTACTCTTCAGGGGTTTCCTTGGACTTGCCTCAATTATCTTGGTAGCTGCCTCCATTAAGTAACCTGTGTTCATTGTTGGAGTAAACCCAGGGCTCTTGATAGGAGACAACAACTTATGATGAGTTATAGGTATAGATTTAGCAGACTTTGGAGGCAATACTTCAGTTTGAAATCTCTCAATAGGACTTTTGGGTACTTTTTGCGCCCTGAAATCTAAGAGATTCCCAGAAAACCTCTCTAGTTTGTTGGGCATACCAATATAATCCATAGAATGACTGTTCCATACATTAGAGTTATCATGATGAGACGCCCGGACGGAGCGGGATTCGAAAGATGAGGTAGAACAAGGCTCGGGAGCGTTAGAAGGCAATGAATCTAACCCCATAAGTCTAGCAACTACACTGGGGACTCGGCCCCCAGATTTTTCTTCACTGGTTTTGGTCAAAGAAAAATCCCAATCATCGGTTAATTTATAACTAGAACTTGCTCTATCTTCACTTGCTTCTAACTGCAGATGAACAATCAATCAGAAAAGAGTGTAAAGCAACTCAAATCAGAAGAAAAGAATCCATGTCAAAGGCAATTCTCACCTGAAAGAGCTGTGATTTTGACAAGTTGTCAACATTTTCTTTTCCTTGCTTCAATCCTTTTTTAGGCAAAACAGGAAGATCAAGACATTGAATAAGTAAACTTCCATGCTCAAAAGTAACAAGTTTCTTCAAAACTCATAAGCCAAAAGGAATTATGTACCAGATAACTCATTACTGCTTGAGAACAGCCTTTTCCGAGATTTGCCATTCCAATCAAACAAGTTAAGAAAGCCTCCTTTGGAGCGTTTCTTCTCAACCTCCATGTTCTAATCTACAAATTACCTGTAAAGCAGCCACTATTTTAACATGGAAAACAAAAACAGAGCCCATAACCAGAAATTTTTCAGAATTTATCTCACACAATCCAATACTTATTTGCATTTCTTAAGAAGAAGAGAGAACAAGCTGCAGTTATAACGGTTAGGAATCACAAACCTCCACAATGGTATGATATTGTCCACTTTGAGCATAAGCTCTCGTGGCTTTGCTTTGGGCTTCCCCAAAAAGCCTCATACCAACGGAGATGTACTCCTTATAAACCCATGATCATTCCCTAAATTACCCAAAGTGGGACTCCCTCCCAACAATCCTCAGCAATAACTATCTACATTTTTTGTTCCAATGAGACTTCCACAAAACCCTAATCTTACAATGAGAGAGGTCAAGCTAACCATATCTAAGTCCACAAATCAAAGAACCATTTAGAATCATAATAAAGCAACTCAAATTTGCCAAAGTAAAAACAAAAGAAAAAAGAAACCCGTAAATAACAGAAAGAGCAAGCATTACAGTTCATCAAAACATGTCTCTCCAAAAATAAACCAAAATCTCCTCCGTTCTAAGCCACATTTCCAAATCCAAATTGTTTATCCCTCAGACCGTGAAGAAAATTACCAAACAGTTACTCATTCAAATTCAAACAGAATAAAAAAAAAAATTCAGCCATTGTAACGGAAACTAAACACGTACCTCTCAGCAAACAGATCCCATTTCCAAATCGCAAGTTCGCAACCAAAAACAGCCAGAACGAATAAAAAAGAGCACAAAACACAGATCTAACAAAAAGGGTACAAAAATTGACCAAAAGGTTCGTTTCAGAAAGAAGAAAGCAGTGAGGAATGGAGTTCTTCAGGCGGTAGAGAAGAAGTACTTGGAGCATTAAAAATGGCAGAATGAGAGAGAGAGAGAGAGAAGCTTAAAAACCAGTGTTCGTGGAAAAATTTAAGGAATTGAAGGCTCCAAGGAAGGTTTTGTGCTTTCACCCATATTGCCCCAAAGAGAAGAAACCCAACTCCGAGGTGGGTCCCACCAAGTCAAAAATTTAAAATTAATAAAATAAAATTTTGAAAAAAAGTGTGAAAATCTAATCTACCCATGGATAAATATTTAAAATGGATCGTATCTTGACCGTTGATTTTTATTTTATTTTTTTAGTATTATTAACGAGATTTTGTCGTTTATTTTAATTGTTTAAATTATTATCTTTCTTTTGTTTTTTTTTTATTGGTTGATGGAAATTTTGGGATGATCAAATAATTAATATATTTATGGAAAATTAAAACGTCCACCAAAAAAATATTTATGGATTTTAATGATATATTATTATCTTTTATTTTGTTAAATCAAATATTAAACTTTGTATGGAAATCCAACTTTTCAAAAATAATATATTTGAACCATTTATGTGAGAAAATCTAATTTATAAACGTTCGATTCTACTTTTATTTTTAAAATATTATTATAAACGTTCGATTCTACTTTTATTTTTAAAATATTATTATAAACGTTCTAAAACTACTTTTGAAGTAGGAACTTTTTGAAAATTCATTCGAAAGATGGAACTTATAATTATGGAACGGTGACCTATAATAGGTTGTGATTTAAAATTTTCATTCTAGGTATTGTCTAGTAAGTTCATCAATAAGGATAGTAAAAAATCCGAATATCTAACCTTATAATCAAGAGTGTATATTTTATGTCACACTCAATTTAGCTAAGTATGGTAAATACAAAATTTAGTAATAATAACATTATTTGTCAAAAAAAAATGTGTACTTTGAAACCTATTATGAGACTAGTGAATAGTTGAATAGAACTTTGTAAAGGATGAAATTTCTATAAATGATAGGTTCAATTAGGTAAAAGAAGCGAAAGTATTTATTGTTTGCTTCAATTATTTGAGAATAGTTTTTCCCCATCTTACTACAATTATTTAAGAGAATGGTTGGGAAAACATGATTTAAATTATTCAAAAAAGCCAGAAATAATTTAAATAATTCCATCTAATTTGGTGACAGATTTTCCCCCTTTAAATTGTCTTTCTCATTGTTCAAAATAGAAAAGGAAAAACCAAACTTATAAAGCATTTAAAATTAGGGATCCGGGTCTTTGTTCAGATCTAAAACGATTAAACATATCTAAAACGATTAAATATAAACATCTAAGATTTGAGTCATCCGATCAAAATACACACATTCAAATTTTTGAACTCGCAGACGAAAATTTTGTAAATAAACAGACATAAATTAGGCTCATCTTTTACCGTAATGTCCCAAACATATTCAAGAAGCTAAATTAAAGACATTTATAATAATGGAAAGTTTCGATAGATAAAAAAAAAATGATTTGTTCTCTTGAATTATGAGTAAGCAGGAGCCAATAGGTTCTTCTAATCATTTCAACTATAATAACTCACTTCATCATCTATCTCGAAGGTATAAAGAAAATATATTCGAAAAGACTATGAGATCAAATAAAATTTTAAAAAATTACACATGGAAAAATAAAAGATTCACACGAGGCTAAGAGTACCACCAATGGACTACTAGAAATCAAGTGCCTATCCCATCCAAAATATCATAGGACTACTGGAAATCAAGTGCCTATCTCATCCAAAATATCATAGGTGGTAGGTTCAAAACAGGTTATAAAATACCAAATAAATAATCAAGAGCTAGAAAACCAAGCTACAAAAAGGTTAGCAGGAATTTAGAAGAGGTCACCTTCATGTAGGAGAGACAATGCTTGGAGGACTCCTAGACGCCAAAGAATCAGCAACTCAATTGCCTTCTTGAAATATGTGTAGCCATGAGCTCTTGCATCTATAAACATGTGTTCAAAGTCAAACACTAATGCCCAAAAAACTTCAGATATGAGTAAAATATGAACACTATAATGTAAATAATCAATGAAATATAATGATTTTGTTGTAAAAGTGACCATTTTGATCCTTTTATTTCCATAAATTTGTATTAAAGAATTTTCATATTGAGTATAAAATTTGAGTTGAAATTTTGCAAATAGATCAAAACAATCCCTATTTAAACGTCAAGAGATCAAAATTGACATCTTGAAAGTACATAACTAAAACGAACCAAAATGGAAAGTACATGAACATTTTAACTAAACCAAAATAAAATGAACCAAAATGAACCAAAGTTAAAAAAGAGTATAGAATCTAAAATAGTATTTAAATAAGTTTATTTCCTTCCAAATATGAAATCAAACAAAGATTTTAGTCTGGAATCTAAGATTCTAGATTTTCTTTCTAATAATAACAATCCAATACAAATTTGAATTGGAAAATGATAGATTCTTGACAAACAAATAGAGTTGGGCAGAGGCATGATTGGGCTTTGCTTCTTGCCAAAATGAACATGCATTTTGGTCCCACTTCAATTATAAGATGATTACTATACATTCACTCCCCATCGTGCAATCAGCAAATTTCAATTATTTAAGTCGTTATTCGACTAACAAGGTATCATTTGATACAAATGTAAGCTAGCTAGACGACTAAATCAAGGCATATAGACAAAAAATAAAAAACTAGATGGGGCAAGTAAACTGAATGCATGTTAAACCAACTGGCCCGTATCTCTTGTACCATAATGCATGAAGCAATCAAAATGTTATTCAACATTTGAAAAAAACTATATTACTTATATGGTAGAATTAGGATGGTAAATTTTAATCGACATGTCGAGATTGGACTAATATCTACACTACATGTACTTGCATTTCAAGAATAAAAACAAAAGGCAAGAAATAGAAAATGCTATTAAACAAAGCTTACATGATTCAACTCCCTCTAGTTCCATTTTTACCTTCCCTTATTGTATGATTTCTCAAGATTGATGAAGAATCTTAAATTCTTAACTTTGCATAATTTCAAAAAAAGTAAGATATTCAAACAACGATGAACTATCAATAAGGCCAAAATGTTTCTTGTTTGCACAAAAAGTAAGAAAACGTATTCTGTCAACAATTTTCAAAAGATTATTTCTCTTATTTGGTCCTTTATTATCCCACCAAGCAACCTATTCATTCCAGCCTCCATGATCATAGTTTAACTACGTTCATCACGTTCATCGTGAGCTTTCATAGCTATCGATAATTTATTCGGAGCCTTCATAACTATCATTGACAAAATTATTCAGAGCACTCATAACTACCAATCATCATCTTGACTAAATTTATTTGGAGCCTTCATACGACATATTTATTCGGAGCTACTGTTGACAAATTTATTCGGAGTATTCATACTACCATTGACAAATTTATTCAAAGCCTTCAAAGCTACCGAGCTTTCTTAGCTACCATAGACAACGTTAGCTGGAGCCTTCACGGCTAACGTTGACAAAGTTATTCAGAGCCTTCATGGCTACCTTTGACAAATTTATTCGGAACCTTCATAGTCATTGATCATCCAAAATTTATCTGAACCTTTCATAGCTACCGATCATCCACCTTGACCAAATTTATTCGAAGCCTTCATAGCTACCGTTAACAAATTTATTTGGAGTCTTCATAGCTACTATTGACAAATTGATTCGAAACCTTCATAGCTACCATTGAAGTCGTGCCTTGACGTTGTGAAGTCGTGTCATCAAAATCATGCGATCAATATTGCACATAAAACTATCGAGTCCAAGCTGAGTAATAGACATATTCATTCTCAGCTTGAGGGGGAGTGTCGAAAGATTAGCCTTAAGTTAAGAGATTTATGTCATTTATGGGTTAGTATTCAAGAATTATATCTATTACTCAGCTTGAGGGATGTGTCCAAGGATATTTATGTAATCTCATTTGGTTGGATTTGTTTAGGGGAGTGTCGAAGGATATTTGGTTGGATTTATTTAGGGTAGTGTTGAAGGATATTTATGTAATCTCATTTAATTGAATTTATTTAGATTTAGTTAATAAATAGATTTATTTAACAAGTGACAGATTTATTTAGAGTTATCCTATCTTGTTACCTATTATCTAGGAATTTATTTAAATCACTTAGATACTAAGGAATTACCTATGAATTTAGATTTAATCAGTCTTTTTTTATAGGACAATTAGACATTTTTATAGGACAATTAGACATTTTTATAGGACAACTAGGAAAAAACATAGTCTAATTTAGACTTGCAACAATTATTATTATTGGGAATGGTTCCTGCTCATTTCACTAAAAAAAGGAGTGTGGAGCGAAAAATAACGCCTGTTAAGTTTCACTCACAACTAGACAACATTTGCAATGAAAGACTTGTAGATACCATATGGGGATGGGATAGCGCAGGGACCTCAAGAAACAAGTACTAAGCCCTAACTACCCAAAATAATGAAGGATTACGAAGTATAAATCATCATGCCTCAGTGATAGAGAAAATGTGATCAAAATAATGCATTTAGCAGAAATACCTGGATTGAGGACAAGCAAGTATTGTAGTCAAGAAAGAAGCATTTCTAGCCTGCATTGAAACCACCATAACACAATAACATAGGTCTGAAATGTTGTCCCAATAATTAAGGTGAGATGATGTTCAGTTTGAAGTCACCTTTAACAGCTAACGTATGTGCTCAGGAAGACTTCTTAAGACAGTTATCACATGGATTAGAGCCATTTTTGCATGCTTTTCGATCAAATGACTCACCAAAATGCTGAAGCAACATTTGTCTCCGACATTCATCCTGTAAATTTGACCAAAAATTCAGGAACATGAGTTTGCATCAACAAATCGAAGCTATAAAATACTAAAAGTAATGGGACAGGAATTTTCATGGTGATGAATCAATGATAATAAGGGAAAGGCAACCGCTCATGATGAAATGGAGTAACTAACCTTAAGTTCACAGAATTGCTGCATTTTCTTTCCTTGAGACATTGACAACTTAAAATTTTCACTTTTAAATCCTTGACCATTACGTAACATGCATACGACTCGGCTGAAATC